AAACTTTGATAAGATACAGGTTTTGGAAGACAGTGAAAACCTAAGAGGGAAAAACGTTTTCTTTATTCTCTGCTCTCTTTGGGCTTATCAGTAGCAGTTGTAGTTTATTCTGTTTGATCAAAATGGTAGTCACTGTTTATGTCCTCAAATCAATCATTTTATTAATCATATACATATATGAGTATATCCATATTTACCTCAGATTAACCATATACTTTTTTGGGGAGAAAAAGCAGTAGAATATTGGTTATTCTATAACTAGGATATGGTGGGAATTTATTTACATGAAACGCTCTCACAAAAACAAGCCATTAAACTTGTAGATGAAAATACAAAACATTTAAGATTCTTGTAGTCAGAAATACTAAAATTCACCTATAAATACCTTAATTAGTAAAATTAACCCATAGTCCACTTACAGATTTCCTTGTGTTGGTTTTTCTGGAGGTACGACACCCTGGGGATTGATTCCAGAGCAGTACACCTCTGCGCTATGGCCTCGGCCTGTTCGTTAAATTAAATCCTATTTATTTATTTTATTTTTATTTTTAGTCTATGACAGTCTTTTTCTGGACTTTTCACCTAAAATCCTTCTGCCTTCCCCAGTAATTGAGATTTCAGGCCTGTACCACTATGGCTGGCATCATTTGTAGCTATTTATTTCTAGTTTAGTTTTGCTTTGTTTTTAGTGTAGCAGTTTGAGAGTTATTATATTATTCAACTGTGAAGGACTCATGTAGTGGGAGTAGGGAGGTTAAACCGTAGTTAGAAGTGTAGAAACAGTGCCCAGGCAGGACACTTGTCTGTGGGAGACAGTTTCCTTTTTTGGTTTTGGTACCGGGGATCGAACTCAGGACCTCATGATTGCCAGGCAGGCGCTTGTGTCACTGAGCTAAATCCCCAGCCCCGAGAGTAAATGAGACTTAATTGTTAGGAGACTAAATTGTTAGTGTTACAGTTTTATGGCACCTTGTTGGACATACAAGTTCTCTATTTTCTGAATCTTTTAGTGCCAACATTTTCTGGGTTTTTTTTTTCTGTTTTCTTTTTTTTTGGTACCAGGGATCAAACTCATGACCACGCACTTAGAAGGGCAGGCAGGCACTTATGCCACTGAGCTTAATCCCTGGCTCCTACAAGATTTTTAAATTTAGAAATGATTCAGTCCTTTGGGAATATTGTCTTAAATTCAAGTTTGTTTTCAAATTTGAGTATTCTGGTAAATGAATTACTATGTTAAATGAGAATACAAAGATTGTATGGTTAGAAGTATGTATTCTATTTGTATTCATAGAGGTTATTGAAAATTTTTCTCTGTAATGAATCTTTGTAATACTCTAGAAAATTTTATTGTTCTGACCTCCATCAGAAGGGAAAACATTGAGATCTTTAGAAAGGAAAAAAAAATGCCTTTCAGTTATTTGACAATTTATTTATTAAAGGCAAAGACTTCTTTGTTTTTGGTATTTGAGTTTGCCTCTTTTGGCATGCTGAGATGAATCATAGATTCTCCAACATGCAGGTATAGGTATAGTGACCAGTGTAGTAAAATATGAACCATCGTATTACTCTACAGAGTCTCATAGCCCAGGCAAATTTCCCCTTCCATTGAGATTTTTATGATAATCATATTTAACTTGTCACATTTGGGTTCATATTCAAAGTTCTTAAGTAGGAAAGTTTTAGACAAAGCATTTATATTTCCTACATGGTTCATTTATTTAATAAATGTATGGTCCTCAAGGACCATAATAGGTCATAGAGATACAATTAAATTCAGAAGAAATATACACACACACCTGAAAAATGTTTCAAAGGGAATTGTGTTAAGGAGAAAGTATTTAAAGCACCTGTTTACCTGTAATAGCTGAAGGATAGTTACTCAATATTTTCCTTTTATGTGACTATTGAAACAAAATGTATATAGTATACTATAAAAATACAAAGAATTACTGAGATGTTTTTCATTTCCTCTTGCACTGCGTGCAGATGGGTCTGAATTCCATGCTGACAGCATGCCTCATTCTGGATGAGCGATGCTTTAATGGACTGATACCCACCTTGGAGAGAGGAGCTCTAGGTTGTCGGATTTCAGTTTCAAGTCACAGCTTGTAATTCTCGGGGAGCATTTTCCTTCTGTCTCCAATTCTTAGGAAATCATGCTCCTTTCTTTGTGTCACCATTGTTAGTTATACTTTAACAAACAGGGCTGTCGATGGGTATGGGAGTCAGTGTTCCCATCATAAGCTCAGTCCCTCCCTACAGCTGGTGAATAAAGAGGATTTGAGCAAAGGAATTATGTAATTATTGCTGTTAGGGAACTTGACATATGTAATTTTAAAATAGGATATTTAATTCTAACTCATTTTTTTGTGATGAGAAAATATAAAATATCACTATTAGTCATTTTAATGGTAAATTCTTTATTAGTAATCTGTATTTTAATTGGTAAGTTATGATAAAAGAAGTTTAATCCAAATTATTGGCTGTGGGATAATATTAGGGATTCATCCTAAGGCCTGTCTGCTGAGCTATATCTCTAAACCTTTTCTAATTTTTTATTTTTGTAACAGATTCTCACTAAGTCACTGAGTTGCTCAGGATCAACTTGAATTTATAATCCTCTGCTTCAGTCCCTAGAGTGCAGGGATTATAAGTGTGCACCATCATACCCAGCTCACACTTTTTTGATTGGTTAAATTCCCTTATGTTCAGCTTGAAAATTATAAGAGATTATAAAATGAAAGCCTTTAAAATAAATTTTATAAGAATGAGGCTTCTTAGGTAGAATTTATTAAAAAATAACTTTAAAAATCTTATGATGAATTTGATAAAATGATTAAACAAATTTATTTTGACTATTTTAAATAATCAGAGATTGTACTGTATTCTTGTATATGAGAGAAATTAAATATCTCTTAGATAACTCACTTTAAAGAAGGTGAATTTTCATTGTGGAAGGTGTTTATTCAGGGGATAAGGAAAGGGATGGCACTTCAGCGCATTCATAGACACAGGATTTCAAAGCATGAAGCAATTGGGTGTGGGTCCAGCATAGTGTGTACAGGTGGGACAGAGCTCAGAAGTGGGTAGGAAAGGGCATTTGATGGTGGAATCATTGTCTTAGACAGTTTTGTGTTGCCATAACAGAATACCCACTCAATAAGGAAGAGGTTTTTTTGGCCTTGGTTTTGGAGGTTCAGATTCCGAGCTGAAGTGGCAGCGTCCGCTGGGGCCTTGTGCTGCATCCTAACGTGGCAGATGTCCTTACCACTGGTGGGAGCTTGTTTGAGAGCAGTGAGCATAGTGTCTGGAAGAAGCCAAACACAAAGTGAGATGTTCTAGCATTCTAACAGCTAGTGCAGTCCCATCAGGCCTAATCGTCCTCATTAGTAACATCTGAGCTTTGTTCACCAGTAATCTAATTACCTCCCAGTAGGTTAAGAGATTTCACCACCTCTCACCATTGCCAGCTGGGGACCAAGCTTCTAAGTGTGAACCCCTGAGGACACACACCATACCCATGCTATGGCCATCATAAAGATCCTACAGTTATGCTTGGAACGTTTAAGCTTTATTTTATGTAGGAGGAGAAAAATGATCAGGAAGAAACCTGAGAAATGTGAGCAGTGATGTTGCAGTTGAGTAAAGCAAACAGTGGAGCGGGGCAGGCTTGGTGTGAGTCTGAGGGTGCAGAGGTGAGTGTAGATTGCACACTGGTCACTGTCCCCTCCACGCCCTTAGCCACCCCCATTTCCCCTGCTCCTTCCACCCAGAAGGTAGGAGATTAAGGACAGGGCCTCCTTCTGTCAAAGCCTTCTTTAAATGTGTGTTCCTAATGTTTCTGTGTTTCAGTGAGTTTTAGTGGAAACCTGTGTGGCAAGTCCACTGTTAATCACCAAAGGACAGGATATATGTCCCAAAGTCAGAATTCTTGATTCAAATCAGTGTCATTTTTCACTGCATGCCGAAGCTTTTAATATCAATTATTACATTCTCTACAGCTTGATTTTGCTTTATGGTCAAATTAGCTATAATCTTATAGTGTTAAGAATGGTTTTAAAAGGTTGCATCTTATTAGTACACTGGAGTTTTTATGTTACATTTTAAAATTGTTTTGGTTTTGTCTATCAGAATTTAATAAAGTAGAAATCTAAATAGGGCTGGTAAAAGCATAACTGTGTACCATGAACCAACACTGTAACCAGACACAAATGGCCTACATGAACTTTAAACCACATCTCTTCTTCGGTTGCTTAGGGAAGTTGTGGGGGCCAAAGTACCACTAAGAGAAACAGTATGCATCCTGTTCTCTGTCCCAGCCTTGTAAGTTGCCCAGCCAAAATTGGTTAGGTGACCCTCCATCTCTTCTTCGGTTGCTTAGCGAAGTTGTGGGGGCCAAAGCACCACTAAGAGAAACAGTATGCATCCTGTTCTCTGTCCCAGCCTTGTAAGTTGCCCAGCCAAAATTAGTTAGGTGACCCTCCGTAATACTAGGAATCACAAGGGTTTGAAATCAGGACGTAGGTGTTGCTTCAAGACAGCAGTCTCTCAGCAAAGTTGTGAAAGATAAGTACTTTCAGGAGCCCCTCTCACTGTGTGGACTCTTTTTTTTTTTTTTTTTTTTTTTTAAATGAAGCTAGTAGAAAGTAAACCCTTTTCTCATTGGTTGACCCTTAAGGTTCCTATCATCCCACATTTTGAAACTGATGTGATGTGATGGGCTTTTTACTATATTCATGTGTTCCAGCCTTAATTGAGATTTCAGTATGGGCCAAAGTAGGTTAATATTTTGAAAACATGTACTCAGTATCAGTCATAACAAAATAATACACTTGATCAGTGCTGAATTTTCTGAATATGGTATTTAAATCAAATATGCTTTATCCTTAATAATTAATTTGATAACTTCACTATTTCAAAGGACAAGATTATGGTAATTTTAAAAAATTGAATGTTTTGCTTGAATGAATGAAAATAAATCTGTTTTTCCCACACAGATTTGAGTTCTGTGAACCTGCATTTGTGGTTGGTAATTGTCTCCAAATAGCATCTGACAGTCATCAGTATGATCGAATTTATTGTGGAGCTGGGGTCCAGAAAGACCATGAAAACTACATGAAAATATTACTGAAAGTTGGAGGCATACTGGTTATGCCTATAGAGGATCAGGTGACTTCTGCTGTCATTTTACTTAATATATCATAAGAAACAAACTTGATTAATTTAAGATTGGGCAGTGTTATTCAATGAAAGTGAAAGATGTGTTTTAATCTTGTTGGGTGGCGGGGTCTTGCTATTTAGTTATGGACTGACCTTGATCTCACCATTAGGCTGACCTCAAACCTGCAGCAGCCTTCATGCCTTGGCCTAGTGTTGGGATCATAAGCATTTGTTACTATGGCCAGAGATTTTAGTTTAAAACTAGACAGACTCCAGATTGTTTAAGTAAAACATCCCACAGAACAGCCTGACAGTTTGATAAAGGAGACATGGCTTTCACTCGCTTGCTGTGTGAGACACTGAGTGGACTTCTCCCTGTTGGTCACATTTCCTCACCTGACAGGTGTTGGGTTGACTGTGATGAGCCCTGCCAGCAACTCAGTGTTCACTGCCTCTCGGTTCCTTGAACACTTGGTTTGAACAGCTTAACTTTATTAGTGAAACAAGTACATTTTTAAATCTTCATTTAAAACCACACTGATTTGGGCTACTTTTCAGCCATTTATGAACGTTATTAAATTTATCTTTTCTTGCCTTGGTTTGAAATTATTAGGTATAATAAATGTGTGAAACAACTTATTTGAAAAGGTGAGACTTTCAAATACAAATTACCTGAATATTTATAAAGTACCTTTCAAAGAAATATGATCTTTAATATTCACATTAACCTAAGTCTGAGTTGTTTAAAATACCTTGCTGTACAACAGTAGAGCTCGAGCATCTAAGATGGCTATGATTTCGTGTGATAATTGTGGAATTTTTGTATTATTTAAAATGTTATGAAATACTTAAACTATTATTTTTATATATTTTGTTGAATATTTATGGTATACAAATATATAAATCTCATATGATAGTGGGATTTTTAAAAAAAATATGAGTTGAATACCCAAAGTTGAGCAAGCTGTTTTTTTGTAAGGACTACTGATGAATAGTTGCTGAGTTTTATAATAATCCTAGTCTCTTGGTGACTGTTGGTTTGTGAGATACCAGGTTGGAGTTAGAATCAGAGTGTTAATTCATTACTATTGTTACCATAATGAAAGAGCGTGAAGTCTGTTGGTATAGTAGTCAAAGTATGGTGCTAATGTAATGCTTTAATCAAATGACTGAGTCTCTGAAACATGCAGCTTAGAATGCAGTGATTGTATGTAATATGTAGAAGCCGTTAGACCTCAAATCTAACATGAAGGCTCACTTGGCTATATTTTTTCTATTCCATTTACATTGAAATATCCATGCTAAGCAACAAATATTTCTTGTTTTATCTACATTAATTTATAATAAATAAATGGAAGTAATGTAGTTGTAGTGAAATATAAGTTATTACATTGTTCTCATTGGCAGTTAAAATAGAATCCTGGCTTTAAGACACTCACATCAGGGTTAAACTTTTCTCTTTCCTGTCTCTAAATAGTTAACACAGATTATGCGAACTGGACAGAACACTTGGGAAAGTAAAAATATCCTTGCTGTTTCATTTGCTCCACTTGTGCAGCCAAGTAAGAATGACAATGGCAAGCCAGATTCTGTCGGACTCCGTAAGTAGGTCTTTGAGCTTTGTTACTGAATTGTTACTTCCAGTGTAGACGCCTATGCTAGGTATTTAGTAAACTCTGTATAATTATGAGAAGTTCCATATGCAGGAATATAGTCAGGGCATTTACTCACCATTTTAAAAAATAAAGCTCTTGCCTGGTACAGGATACTGCTAGTTGTCATAGCGGGAACATGGGGAAAAGGGGCAAGAAACACAAAAATGAATTTATCACTAGCGTAGTCAATAAGGAAGGTTTTTGTGTTGAGGCAGCACCTAAATTAGACAGAAATGATACAAAGGAAGTCACTATGCCAAGATTTTGCATACAGAAAGTGAATACAAAAGGCTGAAGGCTAAAACAGCATCATTGTCTTCCAGATGGCAAACGGTGAGTGTGTGAGGAGTTCCTTGGCTAGGTTGCAGAGGACGGCTCCACATCAGGATGGCATTTGGAGCTGTGCGACACCGAGGGCCAGAGGAGACTGAGCTTTTAGATCAGACCTGTGATAAAGCAGGAAAGCACAGTGAAAATTAGGGGAGCAAGGCATTAGAAGGTGAAGAAAGAGAAGTTCTACAGGGGCTAACTAGATCTTGAGAGAAAGAGGAAAAAATATTAAGTGGTTTGACGTATAACATGTTTTTATTGACTACAAAGTAAAATTCTTTATGCGTGTCTTGATTTACTTTTATTTCATAGGAATCTGGCTTTATAATGAGAATTAATTTGAAGTATTCATTTTTTTATCTTTTGAGCTGTGACTTTGGGACCTTTTGAGATTTGAAAAATTATACAAAGTAATACAAGTTTTGGCCTAGTGTCTGGGAGTTAATAATAGCTTAGTAAAAAGAGATGCTAGGATTTGGGGAAGGTTGTTGAATTGTGCCTGCTTTTCCATATGTAAGTTCTTATCAATGGAGGGAGGGAGGGAGGGACTAGAGACCAGATAGCTAGAGATTGAAATGCAGTTTTATTACCAAGCAAAGTCCATGGGAGGGGAAAAAAAAGGCTTAGATCTACATACCTTCGGAAGGGTAATGTTGGGGACTGAACCCCGGAGTCTCTGGCTTTTGCTAGGCAGGCTGTCCGTCAGTCTTCTACCCTAGACCTGGCATGCATTCTTAAACTTGAGAAACTTACCCCCCAGGTGGTACTACCCAGCCTCCCAGTGTCCTGGTACACTATTTAAATGCACAGGTGAGCAAAGTCCAGGTAGTACTTGAGTTCTGGGAGAATACCAGAGCTACGTGTGGCTGACCGGAAGGAGTGAGGTAGTGGTCCCTGCAGGTGCAGGAGGGTCAGTGTGTGCCACTGGTTTGCTCAGAGTGGCTGTGGCTTGGAGGGTTCTTGGGCCCTGGAGAGTGTGTTATGACCATGCTTGTCCTGTGAGAGCCCCTGTCAACCCTTTTAAAACTTTATAAAATAAATTCTGACACTGCCTTCTTACTTTGATCTCATTTAAGAGGAGATTTAAGTACTCAGTGCTAAAAAAGTTTGAACCTTTCATAATTAGAATGTTCCCAGCCATCTTTTAAAAATATGCTTCTTGCTAATACTTGTTTATTTGACTACTTTTGAAAATACTTCGGTCAAAATATATCTAAAAAATACACATAAAACAGGAAACTAAAAATAAATGATTAAACAAAATTGTCAGAAAGGGGACTCGTTCTATTAGAAATGTGATTTATTGGGCTGGAACATTAAATTTAAACTTCCTTCCAGTCCAGTCAAAAGAGAGGTTAGGTGCTGGGTGTGCTGGCCTACATAAAAGTCCTCTCCAGAGCCAGGATCAAGTGCCCACCAGGGGTACCTGTGTTTATTATGATTGTTTCTGTGAAGTTTGCTTTTAGAACACCATATACAGTTATCTGTATGTGTAATATATGTGGCGATAGGCTATACTGTACTCTAGTTACTGCATACCATCTTAAAGCTAAGATAAATAGCAAAGTAAAACTTTCTGTTTTCAAACATTAGACTTATAGTTTAAGGTACTCTTGTTTAATTTATTGTAACTGAATGGAAAATAATAAAGAGAAATAGTAAAAAAAAATTCTCCTGACACAATTTAACAGTGACCTAAACGTCCATCATTTCAAGTGTGTATAAACACATATCTAGACTGCACAGTGAATTTTTCTGCTATTTGTTCCACTTTGTAACAGATGCTATTAAAAGCTTTAAAATTTTATCAAGAATCATTTTCTTTTTTATCTGACAGTTTTCCTAGTTTAGTTTCTGCTAAGAGTCTTAGTTGTAAATGTGATTTTACAATGGTGTCATTTGTGAATGGCATGGGTGATGTGCTTCCAAGCAGCAATTTCTGTCACCCTCATTTTAAGGATGTAAATGCAAATACACGTATGTAGGTGATAAGACTCATTGATTTGGTTGCACACTTATAAAATGTGAATGTAAAATAGAAATAAATTCAGCATGATAGCATAAAATGGGGTATGGAAAGCCAAATTTTAAAAAAAAGAATAATCTAGAATGAGTTGTAAAGAAGACAGGTGTCGATGAAGTAGGATTAACCAAGAGAGAGAACTTAAAGCTAAGTGTCAGGTCTATGCAGGTTCATTTTACTTTTGATTCTGTATTATGTTTCTATAGCTAAAAGAAAAAAGTTATCAGTTGTCAATAGCAATTTTTTAAAAAATGGATTAGGAATTTTGAGTTTCTAAAAACTGAAATCTTCTTATAGCAACATTCACAGAATAAAAAAATTCTGAAAATAGATATTTACCAAATTTGATAGGATGCATAGAAAATAAGAGCAAATTTCCTTTTCTGTTAAAATAAGTCACAGCAGCTTTCTGTTTAGAAGACATCCTGTTAATTATGGGAGTTAAAATAGAAAAGAATGCTAGTACCAAAAGAACCCCAAGAAAACCATGTTAATCCTGTGCCTAATGTATCTTAAAGCAGTGAAGTTGTTTATATTAAACAGCTTACTAAAATGAATTTATAATTTTTCCTGATTCACTAATTTTTATTAAAGTCATATTTTTTATTTTTAAACTATAAACATATTTTTATTCGTGCTTACTAATTTTACAAAACACTGGATTTCAAGAGTGGTATTTTTATATATGCCATGTGACAGATTTTGATTGTACATCCCCCAGTGACCTTTTCTTACATTCTTTGCCTTGCTTCCCTTCCTCTTGTCAAATAAGTCTCCCTTTCTGTGAGTCATCTTTCTTTTTGTAGTATTGTGTATGTCTATAAAATTCTAGAAATATGTTATTTAAAAGTTTCCATAAATTGTGGAACCCTGGGCTGTAAAGAAGTTGGTTCTCTAATAGGTTAAGTCAAAAAATCAGTTTTGTGTAGTTTAACTTAAATGAAATACTGTTTTTAGTCATTAATAAATAAAATGAAACCTCTGATCCCTAGGTTACTTTAAAACTTATGCAGAGCCTCCCTTTGCAGACTGTCCAATCTGATAGCTTGTGTTACTGGAGGTACAAGCTGATCTAGTCCCCGTACCAGTCTTTTTTACTAATAAAGTTAATAAAAAGCCACCCAATGAGACCACTGGTGCATCCAGCCACTCAGCATTAAGACATATGTTAGAGATAACATATTACCTGTACTTCTGGAATCAAAAGCTTTGACATGTTGTTCACACACCATGATTGGTATATCTTCATGCTGGGCATCTCTGATTTGAATTTGAACGTTCCTTCCAACTTGAACCATCAGTGATACATGCATGGCTGTCCCATTGAGCAGGATGTACCACTTCTCAGGGGATCTTTGATTACAGTAATGCAAAGAAAGGCATTGATTTAGCAGACTTGTGTCACCGTAGTACAGTTCTGTAATTAAAATGGTGTAGTCCTTACTTTGCCAGCACGTATACCAAAATGGGATTTAAAAAATGTGACACAGTGAATTTGTAACATCGCAGTTGTAAATGGAAGTTACATATGGTACTTGAAATATTTCCTTGTTAAAATTTAGATAATTATCGAACTCTTTACAAATACACATTTTAGCTCAGTGAAGTAAATAATTTATTATTGTATTAATTTTAATTGGTATGAATGGTATTAATATTTAAATTTGGACAGTAAAATTATTCACATTCAAGTAGTTAACTAGATTGAGTCCATTTATACATGTTTATTAATCTTTATTAGTAAAAAGACTGACGGAAGTGATTAGATGGGACAGTCATCCTGTACCAACTGGTGGTTCCAACTGGTGGGAAGGTGTTAAGTTTAAAACAAACTTTATATAACTACTAGGACTAATATTGTCTGTTGTATTAAATCTTTATTTCAGAGCTAGAAAACAGTAGAAATGGGAGTATTAAAGAATAGGAAATATATGAATTGATAGATCTATTATCTAAATGTTTTTGTGTCATTCAAAAGCATGTTTAAATGAAGCTAATGTCAGTATTGTTTTAGGATTTTCTGAATGTTTGTCAGTACAGCCAAGATTGAGTCTTTTTCCATACTGGGTCTTGTTGGTTTTTAGTTTAAGTTCAGCTATTGGTCTGGTGTTTTAGGATTGAAAGTTTTATCCCTAGAAAAGCAAGCATTGTTGGCAGTGGAAAAATATAATTAAGTTCTGGAGGGGAATGCCACTAATGGAAGAACACTTCGCCTGATAAAAGGACTAATACAGAGATCCTTTATTAGGTCTGTTCTCCTCCACTCCGATTGTGGAACTCTCAGGCCTAGGCATCTCCCCTGTCTGCACTCCGCTCAGTCCCTGGTCCCAGCTTGCTCCAGGGAGCTTCTCAGGTGTGGTTGTGAAAATGCCCTCCCCTCTGCAGTCAGTGCCTTCTGTTCAAATTCGCCTTGGTCACTTACCATCCCAAGGAATGATGGAACCACTTAGTATTCGTTACCCAAGCTTTTAGGTATAAAACATTGAACGTGGTCACTAATGTGATACTGTAGTTATAAAAAAGACTAAATGTCATCTACATGAGCCTTCATTCAGTCCTTGAATCGTGTAAACTCCTTTGCTTGTTAGGCTTTTGCTCTCCTTCAAACCCTGTTTTATTTAGATACAAAAATGTAACTTCCTCAAGGGACACCTTTGTGACTAGCCTGTCAAAGATAACCGTATGACTTGTATTTTATTTTCTTCATATATCTGTTTAAATTTTTTATTTTTGTTTGCCTCTTCCCTTCCAAACATACAATCTCCATGAATACAGGAACTTTAGTAGTCTAAATCACCGCTGTATGAGTTCTTAAATGACCTACAGTTTAACAGATGCCTCTGAGCGAACCTTGCTCAGTGGAGCTGAGAGAGAACTCCTGTCCTGGACTCGGGTTTGGGCAGCATCCCAGGGCGAGTGCCCCTTCCCGTGTAACTTAATCAGAGTGAATTAGAACAAATGTGCTTAGTGGAAGTGCTAACTCAGGATGACTCAGCACTTTGTTAATTATTCCTGCCAGTCTTTTCTAAAGACCCAGTGAGAGATACCTGTGCTGGAGTACACCTCCATGGAAATGCAAAGGCTTGATCTATGTGTGTGCCTTTTGCTTTTCCTGTCACGCCAGCACCATTTTTCTGCCTGTGCCACATTTTACTGGCACTGAGCTGTCCTGAGTATGTTTCCATTATTTTTAATAGACATTGCTGCTTTCCTTTCCCCATTGGGTGTGCTTACAATTCTTTGTTCATTGTACATTGCAATCTGTCTGTTAGATCTTTCCACGGTGTAATTTGGCAAGCCAGCCAGGAGTCAAACATGAATCTTCTGATAGTAACCATTTTGAAAAACAGGCAGAACAGGCAGAATTTTGCATATTTTAATGCCTAAGGGATGATGTCTCCACGTCTTTATTGATTTAAACACTTTTCTGTGTTTAAATTAATCAGTGGCAGAAGTAAGATTTGAACTCAGATTCTTTTATGTTTGAGTTTCTTTTACATGCACAGCAGTTAGAGAAAAGTCTTGACCAGTAGAAAAAGTCATTTCTAGCTGAATGAGCCTAGTACAGTGCTTTGAAATTAATGCTATTTCAGGTTTCAGTACAGGGTTGGAAAAAAGAAGAGGTTTTATAGTGGACCAATACATTGGTGCTAAGGTTTTTAAGTTAGGCTTAAAATGTCTATGCTAAAGTTAAGTGAAAAACCCCATGTACTGTTGCAAGTGTGTCTGGGAGGGGCTGGCATAGCCTGACCATTGGGGTTGGTGAGAAAGACAGGGAGCAGCCTGTGGTGAGGCCGGGCAGGGTGATAGAGACTGATTCTCAGTCTAAGGGCAGAGGTGGACCACATGCTGGTAAGTGAAGGAGGCACAATTTTAGATGTTACAACAAAGAGGACCAGAGGTGAAGAAATAAAAGTACCTGAAGATTTTAACCCTGCTTAAATGAACATGGTTATATTTTATTTTGGTTTGTTTTTGGATATTTGTAAAGTATCCCTGGTAATAGTTTTATTTTCACAGGGTTGGAAAGTAGAAAAACCGGTTTCAGATGGGATGTAAAAGATTTATTTCTCTGTGTGTAATGTGTATTGAACAGGCAACAAGAAAGAGTATGACCGCCAGGGTTTACTGTTGTAGGTTCATCCAAACTAATGTATTTGATGTAAGTAAACATCGCTACCTTAAAACACTGTGGTGATTCTTCAGGCTGTCAGAGTGTTGGCTCATGGCATGACTTTGTGGTACCTCGCCATGGGTTAGGTCTACTGTTTTGTAAAAATAAAGAAGAGCTCTGGGTGTGTGTGATGACTTCAGCAGACGGAGGCAGCTGTCTAAATGCTGCTGTGTAGTTTTCATTTTAATAGGTTTTGCTTTTCATATGACTTAAATACCAAACAGTATAAAAGGATCTGTAGGATAAAGTTGCTTTCCTCCACGTGTCCCTTAATCACTCGATTCTCATTCACCGTTCTAAATTTGTGCCCTTCCAGGGAATCTATGCACTTATGTGTCCTCCCCCGTACACCTTACATCTATGTTTGTTCTCTGAGGTACCTGGGCAGTCCTCAGCATGTGAGAAATACCCCCAAAGTCAGTTTGTATAGTTTTGTATTTACAGAAATGTACTAAGAATAGACGTGTTTTGTTCTGTGAACCGTATATGATGTTTTCTTTCTGTTTCTTTGTAGCCCCCTGTGCTGTCAGGAATCTGCAGGACTTGGCTCGTATTTACATTCGACGCACACTTAGAAATTTCATCAATGACGAGATGCAGGCCAAGGGGATTCCTCAAAGGGCTCCACCCAAGAGGAAAAGGAAGAGAGTTAAGCAGAGGATTAACACTTATGTGTTTGTAGGTAACCAGCTCATTCCTCAGCCTCTAGATAGTGAGGAGGATGAGAAAATGGAAGAAGATAACAAAGAAGAGGAAGAGAAAGATCACAGTGAAGCCATGAAGCCGGAGGAGCCACCTCAAAATTTACTGAGAGAAAAAATCATGAAGCTACCCCTCCCTGAATCTTTAAAAGCTTACTTGACATATTTTAGAGACAAATAAATCAAGAAAAAAACCGCCTACTGATAATCCTTTAGTCTTGAAAATGTAGCATTTATTAGGAGTCAAAAGAGAGAATTATTTCTTTGATCAGAGTGAATTATAGTGGGAAAAATGTATAACTTGTCAGTAACAAAAACATTGTATTCATTGATTTAAAAGATTCTATCTCTTTTATAAAATCTATTTTTCTTTAAATCTTGAAAAAATGCTGTTTTAACTCAGTGATTTCAAAGTGGAATGCAACCATAGTCAAGACTTTGTGTACTATAAATCTTTTTCTGATTCCTTACAGTTTTGTAGTGGTGAGGGTTAGAGTTAATTTTCTATAAGGTTTAAATAATTGTTAAGCATATGTAATCTGATTTGAATTGCAGTTCTTGGTGGTTCCTGTATGAAAACTGTCTTCTCTACTAAAGAAATCAGATGCTTTGTAGACCTATTTCCACTTTCATTGCAATCAGTCTTGCTGAATTGCTGTAGATATATTCCGGGCAATATATGAGTGCAATAATAATACAAGATATTGAATAATTTAGCTTTAAAAACAAAGTTAATGAACTGTTACAGCTCTGCAACTTTTGCTTTTGAATCTGTTGCCAAAAGACACGGGGAAAATACTTGCTTCTCTTATAGAGATTTAAAGAGCACAGCAAGTGAAGTAGAAAGTCTGTACCTAATACAGCTCTTAATTTGTATGGACCTTTTACATTTTCAGTATTTAAAAATAATGAGGCTATTTTAATTCTTTAGGGTTTTTTTTTCCTGTAATTCACTGTAGTTTAAAAACAATTAATTGTCCTGTCTGACTGATAGTGTAGAATGTATAAAGGAATGAGCACAAGTGACCACCACTTTCTTGGGATCTCCAACTAGCCGGCCAGAGCATATGTGGTCAGCTGATGCACTTTAGCTCATGAGATTTATAGTTTATCAGAATATTTATATTTGACAAAGTAGGACTGAGCTTGCCTACATTTGCTTCGGATCTTTCTAAGAAATAGTCACAGAAATTGTGTCTAGATGCCTTTGTGTTTAAAAAAAATCAGGTTCAGAATTATCATGTAGTCTTTGGGACTTATGCCACGTTCATTTCACTGCTTCATGTTTTTCTATTTCTTTGCTAAAATCATAATGGTTCTCATTTATTGCTTTATGTTATATACTTAAATTACATAGCTCATCAGTGATAAAACAGCTAGTAGGTGTCGTCGTAAGGTTTTTTTCCTAGTAAGACCTGAAAAGTCATTCCTTGTTAAAAAGCATACAGTGTAATGTGTTTTTACTTAGACCCTATTTCCCATTTTAAAGGGAAAAATTTGGAACTGTCATCATCCACCAGCATCACTGTCACAGTAGTTGTTCAGATATGATCAAGGAAACTCAGTCACTGTGAGGGAAAGTTATCTTTTTCAGACTCAGTGTTTCCAAGCCTCAGCTCCAGGAGTCGGTGCATCTCAAACAGTTGTTTGAAATAGTTAAACATGAAATTGCCCCAGCTAATTGAGCATATTTATTGGTGTGAAAGCTAATTTCATGGGAAGGTGTTTGTCTTATATTGATGAGGCAGTGGTGGTATGGGAATAGTAAACTATTATCATTAAGAAATGCTCCATCTCATCTATGTAAGAAAGAATAAAATTAGTTTCGTACTTTCGTCATTTGCTAGAAATGTTGATTTTGAAGCATCCATTTCAGAAGTATAATTTTGAATTCTGGTGCCCATGTTTTTTGTCTAGAAAATCTGGGAAGAATTTTCATCTTATTTGCCCTCATCTGCATTTTTTTGTTGGAGCTAGTGTTCAGAGACGTAAAAATACGTACTTTTCAATAATGGTTTTACTATTTAGGTGAGTTTTTGTTAAGGATCTGTTTCAAGATTGACATTTTCATGTTGTCTTGCATTCTGAACTTGGGAAAGTGTACAGTAGATTTTCATGACCATTGCATATTTTTTTCGTCATTGAAGTGTATCTTCTGTGTTTCCAAATGCACTTATTTTACAGGTGTGACTTTATCAGTGACTTTAAATAAAGAGGTAGAATTAAAAATTCAAGTGAAGGCTTTTTCTATTAATGCAGATATATTGGACTAAGACTATCTTGGATTTTACTTTTTAAAGAATTTGGGTTTACTTGTATGGAAAATTGTGCTCTGGATATAGTAAAGAAATGGAAAATAAAGATGTAATAAAAGTAAGTGATGGGGGATATCATTGCTGAGTGTTATAGACACACAAGACATGAGATATCTAATTTAGGCCTTTATTGTGCAGACAAGAAAGTAGTCCTCAAGCGGTGTCTTGTTTTACCTGAGTCACACAGCTTGTTGAAGGCAGTGCCTAAAGTAGCATCTAGTGTCAGATCAATCCCAGAGTCTGTCAGCAGCATCATAGCTACCAAGAAGGTAATTGGAATCTATATGGCCTATTGGTTGACATATTTAGCTCTGATATTGGTAAAGAAAAATGTTAGTAATGTAGCATACATAGAAGTTAAAATACCAAAAATGTGTTGAAGTCTGTCTGTTTGAAATGGAAGTGAAGGAAAGCCTGTTGAATCATTGGAAGACTTGGAAGAGTATTTAAAATAAACAATCACACACTGAAGCAGCATTCTCCCCTGACCGGCGTTGTGTTTTTCTTGCTGTTAAGTTTAGACGTTCTCAGTGCTCCATGAATGTGTGTTAGATTGTGGAGTGCAGTTGTGTGTGGGCACCTTACTTCTGACCACTGGCACCTCTGGAGAGTGTGGAGTACTTAAGGACAATTTTTAGCTGACATGGTGGTACATGCCGATAATCCCAGCTCTCTGGCAGACTAAGGCAGGAGGATCTCAAGTTGAAACCCAATCTGGATAACCCAGGACTTAAACATTCTCAAAAGATACAAAAGGCCTGAGGATGTACCTCAGGGAAACTCCTTTGGATTCAGTCTGCAGTAGCAACAAAACAGTAATAGCAATAATACAATAATGAAATCTCCACACTGTAGATACAAAGGGTGTTTATCAAATGTATTTGAAGTATGAGGAATGGTGATTTAATACAGATGTAGGCACGTATGTACCTCCTGGTAGGTTCACTTTCCTGATCCCATTTAATTACTCCCCTCGTGGGTAACCATTTATTGTGACCTATCTTTTTGCTATCAGCACTTGGGGTGGGGGAGTACGGGGGCTTGAACTCAGGACCTCACACTTGCCAGACAGACAAATCCCCAGCCCAAGCTATTATCATTTTTGAAATTACTTTTTTAAAAAAAATCGTTGAGTGATTAATGTCAGCATTTTAATGTATTCACCTAATTCATTAATCCTGTCCTAAGAGAGACAGAGCGCTTGACAGCACTCATCATGTCAAAATTATGTGACTGTATCATGCTTTAATTCTAGTGTTTTTAGCCACACGGCGATAATTAACCGATGCTTAATTAGATGCACTCCAGTTTATACTTGTGTTTTGCTCATTGTTCATTCCTCAGATCATTCCAATTTCCTTTTGCCTACAGTGCATCCTTTTGAATTTCTTTTAGAAGACGACTAGGTTGCTAACTCCTTGAGTTTTGTCTGCGTAAAAATTTTTATTTTTCTTCTTTAAAAAATGTCCACTGGCTATACAGTTTTAGAGTGACACTATTTTCTCTAAAGGAGGTAGAATTCCTGCGAAACTTTCTGACATCCATTGTAGCTGTTAGGTAGGCTAACAGCCATTACTTTGAAGCTCATCTCTTAGCTTGCCTGTAAAGATTGTCTGGCCATTGTTAATTCTTTGGACTTTCATATAATGGGTCTGGGTGTGAATTGCTTTTCATTTTCCCTCCCTGATACTTGTAGCTGTGTGAGTTGGTCTCTCTGTTTTGGACATCCTTTGCCACTTTAGTTTTTTTTTCTTTTTTAATAAATGCTGTCTCAACTTTTTCTCAGCATTGAATTTTAGATAATCTTTTAAATTGATCTGATCACTGATTTTCTTTAAAGTTGCATTAAATATGCTATTGAAGTCTTATACTGAGTTTTACTCTGTTCTGTTTTCGTTTCTACTTGGCCTTTTTCAGTTGCCGGATCTCAGACAGGAGGTGTGGCTTCTCTCTTGATGTTTCTTTTGACTGGCATTTGTAACTGTTTTGTGTGTTTTGCTGGTGTTTATAACTTTCCTTGTATTTTGTGGGAGTTTTACTAGCTGCTTGACTTGTTGCCCAGCATGACCTCTTTAAATCCTTATTGTAAGGTGCTCTGGACTAGAGAGGTCAAGTGGTTTGAAAACCCATTTGAAGGCCTCTTTGGAGATTGCACAGCTGCGGAGAGAGATGGTATTCCCTGCCACCCCAGGGAGGTTTTGAAATAGTCTCTTTCTCTCTTTCTCCTTTTTTTTTTCTTTCTTTCTCTCTCTCTCTCTCTCTCTCTCTCTCTCTCTCTCTCTCTCTCTCTCTCTCTCTCTCTCTCTCTCTCTCTCTCCTTCCTTCCTTCCTCCCTTCCTTCCTTCCATGTGCTCTGGGGTGAACAGAGTGGTAGACGGTTGCATGAATGGGGATTATTTCTAGTTTTTTCTTAGGACACAGCTGTGGCTTTACACAGCCATTTCAGGTTAAGGATCCCCACTTGGGAAAAGGCCTCTTCTTTGCCCTGTACTTGCTGCTGTAAGCCTCTGAAGTTCATTTCTCTCAGTAAAACCAGGCTGAACCAGCCAAAGTATTAACCTCAAGAGCATAATAATTCTAAGTAGAATTGGAAAAAAAAAACATGCTTTTTTTTTTGGATTATTGGTATACTTCAGCAATAAAAGCCATGAACAGTGGCAGGCATACTTGTTTAATTATTTGTCTGAATCTTTCTGTATTTTAATCTTTTTAATACCATGCATATGAGTAACATTTTTGCCAAAAGAGGGCAGTATTCACCTACAGCACGATACAAAGTGACCAAAAAGTCGCTGCAAAAAAGGATGAATTTATTTTTTCCTCCTAAAATTGACAAAATTTGACAAATTTCCTACTCACTAGATTGGTCTCTCAATGTGATCATCTAAGATTAACTACCACATTTCATTTTTCTGTTTTATATCTTTGAAAGAATTTGAAAACTTCAACATTTAAAAATATTTTTAAGCATCGGTTTACAGAATGATTAAAAACTGGGTGTTTTAACTGCAAGGTGTATTTTGGCGGAACCTGCTGTTCTCACACTTTCCCTGAGGGGGCTGCTTACTCGGGGAGCCATGGCCAGCAGCCTGCAGGTGCACCACACACTCCAGCCAGCGCCTGCCCTGCTGAGGGTCTCACGTCTGTCCCATCAGTTATTTCCTGACGAAGCAAGTATGTGAGCAAGGGATTTTAAACGTTAAATATTAAGGGAAATCAAAAGTAGCTGGATTGAATCTTACATGAGTGAAACATTTGGTTTCAGGAGAAGTAGTCTATAGCAAGAAATGAAACCATGTCCTTCACAGAGTGGCTTAGAAGAAGGAGTATGTGTGTCTGGATGAGCTAATTAGAACTGTGTGCCCTTTAGGATTTGGTAATGTTACCAAAATAAAAGAGAAAAGCTATTCTGCAAGGGTCCAATAAATAATCAATTTGCCCTTCAAAAGGACAGCTTGGGACTGAGAGACTGGGGCTTACATAAAACGTGCAATGGAAGCAACTTTGGAAAAGTTTTTATTTGCATTCTGTTGCCGAAAGAGGCTTTTGCACTCAAGGTCTTCTGGTGGTGTCTGTCCCTGGGAATCCAGTGCCTCCTACAGCTGAGGCCCTCGTCCCTGGAGGGTGATCTTCCTCCTCCTGGATTGGCCGGGGTGCCTTTTCCCTGAGACCGGCTTCCAGCCTTTGCTCCCAAGCCTGGCTCGGGCCAGCCCCTGCCATCCGCACCACACAGCTTCTGTGGCTGCAGTTGCTGCTGTCCAGTCCATGGCCTTGCTTGCGCAGCCTCCGCTGGAACTGTGAAGCCCAGATTGCTCTTTTGGACCACCTGTTTCCTCCTGGCCAGCCGGCGCTGGCCGCTGCTGCCCTACCCCAGCCGGTGCCTCTGCTTTAAGAGCACCATTTGCTGCATGCACTTGATGCTGGACCACGTTCCTCAAGTACCACGGCAGACCACAGTCCTGTAAGTGCACGCAGATTCCCTCAACCCTCATCCAGCCACCCCCATCCAGCAATACCTGCTTGTTTTTCATCTGGGGACTGAGGCTTCCCATTGCGCTCCCTGCTTGTCTGCTTGGAAGAGGTTTTCACTTTACAGCTTCATGGTTCTGTAGTGTTAAACTGAAAAATATGAGCTGTGGTGAGGTGACATAAATATACTTGTTCTGAATGCAGTTCTTGCCAACACTTCCAGAAGGTACCATTCAGAATCTTCACCTTTGCTCTTCCTTGGTAATTTTCTTGCATTAAGCTCAGTATTTTTTCCCATCCTTTTTTTCCAAATCTTTGGGACTCCTAATTGGGTCATGCTGTGACTATTCCACTTGGAAAGAATGAGACTAATTTCAGAACATGGTTCTGATTGATTATGTGCTGGCTTGTTCCTCCAAGGAGCGTGGTGTCTTCACTCTGAGCACTTGGGACTCTGTCAAAATAGGCTGGCAGGAAAGCTCAGTACTGAAAAGTCTTGCCGAGCAGCTAGATTAATTGGCATCTAGGAGGTATTATGGCCTGGTACAGTAAACCAGAATTTAGAAATCAGACGCACCTGAGTTCAAATTCTACCTCATTGTTTTTAATATGGGGATGAAATTATAGAATTAAACTGCAAATATCCATATAAATAAGCTGATACTTAAGTTAAACAGCATCTATCAAATGACCAGAGAATTAGAATTTAATATCTTAAATATTTTATCCTGATTTGTAAACATCATGCCATAAGAGGAGGAAAAGGAATAATGCCAAAAGATTATCCAGATTCAAGACTTTCCTGATCCATGATAAAGGTTTTACAGAGTGTGTGTGCACCATTAGAGGAATACAGAGCTGCTTTCAGTGTTGCCAAGTTATTCTTGGGCAGAGGAAATGACCTGCTATCTTTGGAATTTGGAGATGTTAATGTTTTAAGATCATCTTCACATAGATTTTTCAATCCTAATTATGAATTTAAGAGGTAGCTTGGTGATGAAAACTTCAAGTGCATAGAAAATGACAGAAAGTGCATAGAAAATCTATAGATTTTTCATTGTTGCAGAGCATTTTTTAAATTTTATATGTATGGAAATATCAATCTTACTGTAAAACCAAAAGGACAGAGGATTGGACCTGGTGCCATTGTGTTCAGCTGTGCAGGACAGCTCTAGAAGTACCTTCCAATGCAGACCCATCCACTTGTCATCTTGTAGTGACAGTTTTCTAGTGGATAGCAGAAAAGCTTTAGAGAAAGGGCAGCTTGTCTAATCAAGTGCCACGAAGTTAAATGCCACCAGGGTCCATTTTGTCCTAAATTTTGCTTCCCAGGTGTTTAAAGAAGAGAGTCACGTCTAATAGAAGTAGTGTACACATCCAACAGTAATGAGCAGAACTGAAAAGACACTGCCCGCATAAGGGCTGGGTGCTTGGGCTGTGAGCCAGCTGCGTCCCTCTGAATAAGGTGCCACCATACGCCACATGTGTGTCGCCTTGGACTACTACAC